GCCGACCATCTCATTCACCCTAGATCTCATCACCCCTGAGGACCCGGCTCCCAGGTGCTGTAGGGATCCCCCTACACCAGAGAACTCTAAGCTATACTTTATCCTTTAACGGGAAAATTGTGTCGCATTCTTCCCTATTGTTTGTCAAGAATGGGACTGTTGGTTGTGGTATCGCCTGGGGGCGCAACCTATTCATATGATCTTGCGTGAGTGTAGCCGAATGATATCATTGCACATTGGAGAGCAATTACTGATCTCTCTTTCTTATGTATCATATAAACCACATTGGCAAACAGTACGGACACGAGCCCCTCCAACTTGGTATTTATTGGGAAAGCGACAGACAGCGCGTCAAGCCTTGCCTCAAAGCCGTCCGCTTCTGTCACTGAAACATCTAACTATCAGTCGAGGCACACTGCAATAGTGCCCGCCAAATACCAGGAACACTACGCCGCTTCATCCAGATTCCAGGCTCCGACTCGAACGCAAGGTTCTAGTGCGGCTTCATCTCACAAACCACCACCCCCTATCTACCGGCAAGAGTGCATTATATGTAGAGATGAACCAGTCTTCTTTCCAAGGAGTTCTCCTACGAGAAAATGTGCACATAAAGTGGAGGCTTGCCTCGATTGCTTGCGGAGGACGATTCAGGCGGCTGTCGAGGACCAAAACTTTGGAGGCGAAGAAAACACTGGCATTAAATGCCCGACAATTGGCTGTAATCAGTGGATGGAGTACTCAGATATTGAATACTGGGCCAATACGACAGTATTTCAGCAGTGCGTAATGCCCAATTCATCGGATATCCTTGGCTATCAGTGTTGATCGTCCATTTAGTTACGACAAAATTCTGTTACAGTATTCACTTCAAGCTCGTGATGACTTTCTTTATTGCCTGAATCCACACTGTGACGAAGGCCAAATACATGCCGAGAAAGGTGAGTTTCTGTGTTTCCTGACCAGAACTCTCATATTTGTTGTCACTAAAATCCGATAATACAGACCAAAATCCTCTCGTTGTTTGTCATTCATGCGGCGCGAGACAATGTTTCGTACATAGGATTCCATGGCACGAAGGATATACATGCAGAAGATGGGAAAAAAGGGCAGTACATAAAGCCGAAGACAAGGCATCTCGTAAATACATTCTTTCGACCACGAAAGGATGCCCGAACTCACAGTGTGGTCGTAGAGTAAGTCCAGAACCCCCACTTTGGTTACGCAATCTAAATGACCGATATCGCTGTAGATTACAAAAACGGCCGGTTGTGATCATATGACATGCAGAAGACCTGCGGGGTGCGGACACGAGTTGTGAGTTACTTTTATTCCTGTCCGAAGAACCATCTAACTGATGGAATGACCCCTATAGCTGCTGGCTCTGTCTAGCTCCTTGGAATATATGGGATAGCTCTGGCCACTACGATCATTGCCCAAATTACATTGGGTTACCCAATGGCAATCCAGCGCCTGCGCGGTTAAGTCAGAGAATTTGAAACTGGCCGTAGCTTTTAGAAGGTCGTTTACCCGAAGGTGCAATCATATTTCCCGGCTTTTATTCCCCGAATTCTGTACAAGACCCCCTCTTGTATTCCAATGTGTTATTTTGAGAATCTATCGGATCATTTTCGCCAATTTTGTCATTCAGAATTCGTCGAGAAAGTGCACTACCCTACTGAATCGTCCTGAATCGTCCTGAACTCCTCCGTCATTCTTAGGAAACCAACTGTTCAATATAGTGTCTACACCAACAATCCTTGTTCTGCAACAAATAATACTCGTTAAATAGTCCAGGCTGCTTGTCTGTTATAGGTCCGAAAAAAGGAGATGCGATGGGGTTCAATAAAACGGGGAGCCTGGCCGAATTCACGTCCACCATTGGGCTACCCTCGTACCCATGCGCTTATCACTCTGTATCAGGCGTTGGTGGGTTATTGAAGCCTCAAGACGTGAATAACCAGAAAAAGGTCTGTATTACTGGGTGGAAATCGACGATGGCGCATGAACTCCACGGCACGATTTGATTCATAGGCATATATTATTTTATAATTTTGAAACCAATTCAATTGGTTCACCAATTAGATAGTCGATGGACAAAGCAACGCCCAGTACCCTAAAATAAGTTGCTAGCTATCTCTCGCTTCTAAGGCTTATTCACTCGCTTTCCATGACCCAAGAAGATTGCGTGCTATGCCTCTTAATTCTTCAATATTGACATTAAATTGGTAAAATAATCGTGACTTTCGATTGATCAGTTTTTACAGTACACTACAATACATGAATGGAGAACACATGATTTACGCCTCAGTCAAGATCTCATCCTTGGCGGCCTGGGCGACGATACCACGCCTTGCAATACCAGTAGCGTTACGGGCGAACTCGGAGTGGGTCACTCCATTGACGTGCTGGCGCTCGCGTCCGACGTCCAACTCATCCATGAACTTGAATGCGAACTGCACAGCAGGGCGGGTCATGACGCGAGCGTGCCAGTTGGCGAGGTGGGGGAACTCGCGCTCGACGTTGAAGTTGACGGGCATGAGGTGGCGGATGGCGTAGTCGTTGTACTTGACGAAGGCGAGATCGGCGATGGTGCACTTGTTTCCGACCAACCTATGGGTAAGCAAAATCGTTAGCCGATTGGGCATGGAGCGTGAGTGGGAAAGAATACGAACCAGGCCTTCTTGCTCAAGACGTCGTTCAAGACGCCGAAGATGCGCTTGATTTCATTCTGGAACCTGCGACGTAGTTAGTACGGGCTAAGAAGCCCAAGGAAGAAAGAATGCTTACCTGATGATAGCAGAAGGGATACGCTCGGGGTGATAGAACATGAACCATTGGCAGTTGCCGAAGGTAGGTCCCTGGTGGGAAGCCTGGTAGAAGAGCCCTATAGAAGGGAGGTAAGGTACGCGCTGTCGTCGGCAGAGGCAGAGGCGAGGAAACGTACAAGTGTCAAGATCGGCCTTCTCCTTCTCGTCGGTGACAAGGAGCTTCTTCTCCGTATCGTAGCGTTCGGCAATGTACTTGAGGATGGCGTTGCTCTCCCAGATGACCTCGTCGTTGTTAGAGTGGTCGACAAGGGTGGGGATACGACCGTTGGGGTTCAACTTGCGGTACTCCTCCGTCTTGTGTTCCTCCTTGGCGAAGTCGAGGATGACCTCCCTAAACAAACGTCGGTCAGAATGCACGGAGGGGAGAGGGGCTAGGGCAAGACTAACTTGTGCGACAAACCGAGCTAGAGAGACGACGTGAGCACATGTATATGGTGCGGAAGTATGCACGCGTACCTCTTCCATAATGACGAGGAGCTTGAGCCAGTTGAGACCGGACTCAGCGAGGTAGAGGGTCATTTGTGGGGAAGACATGATTTCGTCTGGTAGATGGAACTGGAAGATGTGAAGACTGGGGAAGTGAGGAATCAACGACGGTTTGGGTGGGCCTTTTATGTCTTTCAGACAAACGACGAGGCCTCCTTGAGGATGACCGCATCGCAAGTCTTCCCATGTGGTGTGGTCAGCCTTTGATGAGATACCTCCCTTAAGGTACCTGGCGGACGACCTATGGTGTCTCTCGGTTCCTCAGGATCCGAAGTACCGTTTCACAAAAACCCTGTGTGGAGTTTCAGTCGAGATGATGTGTACTTCATTGTACCAATTCAGAAGTGGCGAGAAGACCGGTTTGGAGATGGGAGCTAACGAAAAGTGGCAGGGGGAAGTAGCCACTCTTGCAAGATGACGATAGGCCGATCGGTGGGTGGACTCGATCTAGCCATTTCTGGATGCACTCATTATTAGTTTCGATAGGGAGTAGAGCCGGTGGCAGATGACTATTGATATGTATTATCAGGTCTACACGTGTAACTGGCACAAGAAAGGGGAGGTTTGACCGGGATAAGCCGCGGGGTGGTAGCACTCCTTTCCGTCATCATTGGATCTGGTTGAGCCCTGTTGAGCCCTTTCCTGAGATGTCGATGAGTGGTCACTTGACTGTGCGATTATTGATGACCCGATAAATGGGACTTTGTTCACTGGTCGCTTATCAGACAATGGTAACCCCCCTCCCTCCTCTCCTGTGTCCCTATTCTCGCGTCATAGGAGAATGGGCGAGGATACAAGGCGAGCTGAACGGTCGATGATGTTGGAATGAATTGCTGGAACCACAAGGTTGATAATGCTTCTGTCAAAGATGAATGAGGTATACAGATGCCACTTTTTTGAACAGAATGGGCGAAGCAAATGCTGATTGCTTAATGAAGTCGCCTCGGAATAACGTGGGCAGTAATTGAGCAGGTGGCTGAGTGGCCAACACTGGAATCGGTCTGATAGGTAATATTCTGTATGCGAAGTCCGACCTTGCCGTCTGCCACTACGAAAAAGGGCAGGTCGACTGCTGAGGTTTGGGCCGTTCAGTAGCCAGAGAGAGTTCGCGGGCTCAGGCTGTGTTTACTGAGTGATACCAAGTGGCTACTGGAAAGGCACTCCTCCTCGAACCCTTGGCAGATAGAACTGCCGTATTGGGCGTCGCACAGCTGACAGTGGAGTTTCGTATCGTCCTGACATCCTGAATGGGCCGGTGTCCTGATGGCCTACTGCAGGTACCTTTCGCATCGACTCGGGTGCAATGAGCAGCACAATATATCGTTTGGAAACTATCAGACGTCCTATATCTGTCGCGGGCGGCTTCCGACGGTTTTTTCATTTCAACTGAGTGTTAGCGCTCGTGAATCGAGCTAGTGACCAACACACGAACCGTCGTCCAATTCGTATGTCCCTCGACGAAAATATTTTGTCAGAATATCGGCAAAATTACACCCCGGATCCAAGCAATGTCCGTGGGGAACGGCAAGGTTCAAGTCGCCACACGTGGAAGGTCGGTAGAATCGCGAAACATTCGCTAGCGACCATTGAAACGATCTAGATCCCGCTACAGGAAGAATATTAGTGAACAATGAGTTCAACGAAGCTGCAAAGTAAGACACTAACTCCCTGGTTCTCGCTAATATGGTTGCTTGCCGTAGTACCTCATGGCACTCAAAACCGACCAGAACGCTCTTTGAATGCTACTCACATGGTAGTACTATAATTTGAAATGAGACTCGAGAGTATTCCAGATTTAAGGTGCAATCGTCGTTATCCGTCGAGTCTGCCGGAAATGGACTAGCTCGAAGGGCAATATAATACTCCCTTTGCCGCCCAAAAGCACCATTCATGGCGAAAATGCAATCTTGATCATAGTCATATGGAAGATGGTAAATCTGATAATTAAGGTACCTTGACTCGATCATTGTGTGAGGCAAAGAGGCAAATAAGGGAATAGACGTCACGGCAATTCGATGGGTTCAAGAGGCATCGCAAGAGTATGGATAAAAGAATGAGCTACGAAAATTCACGCTGTATACAGGATGGCTCTACTTGCGTCGGATAGCAGCCCGTCTCGCCCGAAGGGTGCATGTTCTAGGCTTTCGTTTCTCTATCTGGGTGTCTCTGTTTCTTCTCCTGTTTGGCCGCTTGTTCTCTTTACCCGATCCCTTTAGGGCCACAGCCTTGTGAGAGGACCGAAGTACGCGACCAACTCGCGAGGGCTCGAAAGGAACAATCTCATCAATGGGAGGAGAAGAGCCAATAGCTGAAGGAGCGAACTGAGATGATAATGCAGGAGGATGGCAAACTGGCGCTGAGGAATGGTTAGGGGCATCTGTGATCGGCCAGTGTAGCATAGGACGGTAGAGGCATTGGGCATGAGGGATTATTTCACTGGGAATATCAGTTTTTCCATCGAGAATACGCGCGCGCGATGTCGTAGAGGACATGTGCGTGTCAGAATTTGGTGAAGCGCCTACAGGAAGGGGAGGTGACCCGTAGCAATCGGGAGTAAAGGATGCCGGCCGTAATCGGAATGGGTTTTAGTAAAATGCACTAGTCTCAGTAGGTGATATATGTGAATATCCAATTTGCATAAATGCCGAAGGTAGGACTTGCGGCGCCCAGGGTGTATCCTCGACTTCTGGCTTGAAGGCTGCTCCCACCTGCGTGAGCACTAGAAACCATCAGACTTCTATAGCTCTCGGATCACGAGATTTACCTCCTTCCTGAGGTCGATCAGTGATAGAGTTGAGGTTGGCAGCGGTGGCTTGCCTCCCACTCAAAGAGAGCTCGTGTCCATCAGGCCCAGAAGGGACAGTTACACTTGCGCCATCCTGGAATAATGATGCGTTGAGGTCATCAAACAACTGAGAAATGGGGGGGTCATTTCTTCTCGTAGATAGAAATTCTTTATAAATATGAAAAGCTTCTTCCCAGTCAATATTTGACTGACGGCCGACTTGTGTAAACGCTCTGTCGGGAGACACCATGAAACGCGCCTGAAATGGATGGTTAACTAAGTGGGGTCTAAGGAACCAGACACTTACACCAACAGCTGCACTTGCAATCATGGCAGGTGTTATTTCAGTGAAGTTCCAATGATAGGACCTGCGGGGTCTTGAGGGCTTAGGTCGTGCCTTATTGATTCGATCAACTCCGAAGAGGATAGCGATCAAAATCTAGAACAGAGTCAGCATATACTGAGAAATCGTGCATGATTTATTATGTCTACTTTTCGAATGATATCAGTACGAAAGAGTCCTTCTATCGGATCTTGTCCCGGTTCGACCTCTTTGCATATAATGGGAGGATAAAGGTTATAACATGAGTTTTCGTCTTTAGAACTTTCGTCATATCCCGAAAAAGCTCGACATCAAGAGCTTGAGGCACGAAATTCGGCCTTATTGATGCTTCGGAGCTCTTCAACTGGGAACATATGAGCAAACTCGTTGAGTATTTCTGCTGGCCATGCCCTGATACTGGATGGAAACCTAAAATGGAAGCTTTGCATTGTCTTCGACATCTGTAGGTTGTGAGCATGAGAAATTAAGTCTGGTTTTCACTCACAGTCTTCCAGAATTGTGGGTCTTTGACAACGTCTTTTCGGTTGGGAGGCAAGGCGTCGAGTATCTCCCAATAAGTCCCAAACACCAAGCGTAATGTCCTTTCACTCTCCGATTCATTGGGAGATGAAATGAGACGACTGGAAGGGTCATAATCCTGGGGTAAAGAGACACCATTCATTGACCGTAGCTGGGAGGGTAACCAGAGACGAGATCCAAAAACGAAATTCTTGGCAAAATGTGTCATGAAGACTTGATCCTCATCATTGACGGTATTGTTGCTGTTACCTTTGCTCTCGTTTGCGGAGGGAGTAGTAGGAACCATCTGAGACTTTAATTGATTGCGAGTGTCGAGGACTTGAGCCTGAAGTTGTTCTTTTTCTTTCTGGAGCTAATTTTTATGTGCTCGTGATCGAAGAAGACGCTGGAATAGTTTAAAGAGTCAATAACTTAGGAATGTCCGCTTTACAGACATGCCTCCTGAAGTTCACTGAAATTATCGGAAGGAATATTTAATTCATCGAAAACAAGAGATTTGGATAATGTAACGTTTGGGCTCTGGCTTTGTAATTGTGCGCGATCTATCTCAGGAATCCCGAGGATGCTATCATTCTTGAGGGGAAAAGATTGTGACGAGGTTAAGGAGGGAAATATACCAGTGAGAGTATGTGAATCTCTCATTACCCGGCGCGTTTGGTGCGTTAATACGAAAATGAAGGAATGGAGCAAGGGTAGAAATTTGCAACTCCGACAACATATCGGTGACAGTGGGTCACTTTCTGGAACTAGTCATTCTAGAATAACAGAAACATCATTTGATAAATTTGAAGCATATAAATGAAGGTTTCATAACTATAGGTCTCTCATGTCTAAATGACCCATAGAGCCGGAAGTATTTATTTATCATACGACTAAGAATACCAAGACTGGTTATTTAGTTCCAAAAGTCTTGTATTATACAACTCAGTCTCTCAGAAGAGCAGCTGTGCGGAATTACATTGGATGCTTCATGACCTTTACTTGGGCCCAAGAGTGAGCCCCCCAACAGGACTAGACGCCCTAGGTGCTTTTTTATCAACCTTTGCTTCCCCTTTTCTTCTCTTGGCCGGTGGCTCGTTCTCTTTATCTGACTCATCTGCGATGGTGGCATTGCGCATCGACCAAAGTAGGCGACCAACTCGAGCGAGCTCAGCAGGAACAATCTCGTCGGCCATAAGAGAGGAGCTAGTAGCTGAAGGAGTTGAGGGATGAGAAAAAGGTGCTGGGGGTCGACTAGGGGTAGCTGTGATATGCGAGCCGGGGTTAGGGTCGTCAACGGCCTGGGTATTAGGAACCAGGCCACTAGTCACATCAGAAACTACCTTGATACCTTTAGATGCACTTGGTGTATTAGGGCATATTAGCGGCCCCAAAATTGATGCAGCGGCTCCGACAGAAAGTGCGGGAAGGACAGGGTCGTAGTTAGAGGTATCGAGTGCGGCCAGTAGTAGGGATTGGTCCTGGGAATATGGACCATTATCAGTGAGACATTTGTCCGAATTGTCACCTAGGGTAGATGCTAAAGGACTTCTTTGTAAAGTCTTGAACGCATCTTCAATCCCTATTTTGGACGCAGTTTCTATGGACTTGAATACTAGAGAATGTTGGAATTTTGCGTTGTTCGGAGTATTGTATGTACCTTCTTTCTGAGATTCGTTGGGGATGAGGTTGGGGCCAGTAGCAGTAGCCTGCCCGAGGGAGGTGTCCTTTTCATCGAGTTCGGACATGGTCGGTTTACGGTTACCATCTCCAAATAATGTTGCGTTAAGATCATCGAACAACTGGACGATAGGCGGGTCGTTTCTTCGCGTCGAGAGAAACTGTTTGTACGTCTGAAAGGCCTCTGTCCAGTCAATCCCAGATTGAGGGCCCACCGGTGCAAACGCTTTATCGGGAGATATCATGTAACGTGCCTATAAAAAGATAGATTAATGAATGAAAGTCGGATATTTCAGACACCCACGCCCACAGCTGCACTGGCAATCATACCAGGAGTGACCTCGGTGACGCCCCAATGACTAGCGTGACAGATTTTTGGACGAGTGAATTGTTCTTTTTTGACTTGCGCTACACCAAAGAGGACAAGAACCAAAATCTTGGGAAGAGTCAACTCTCTAAGCGGGTATTCACCGTTACATTGTATCTACCTTTTGAATGATGTCCGTACGAAAGAATCCCTCTACTGGATCTTGTCCTGGTTTGACCTCTTTGCATATGATGGGAGGATAGTCGGGATAGCGTGCATGTTTCTCTTGTGCCGTTTCATTGTACCCCGATAGCATACGGCATAAAGCGCTTGATGCACGAAAAACCGAGTCATTGAACTTCTTGAAGTCGTTGATTGCTCTTGTATGAGTAAATTCTTCGAGCAATTCCGATGGGCATGACCTGATATTGTATTGGAAGTGTGTGCGGAAGGCTTGCACGGCCTTTACTACCTGCAGAACATGAGTATGAATGATAGGATCCAGTTTCACTTACATCTCTCAGAAATTGCGGATCTTTTGCACTCTCCTTTTTATCAGCGGGCAAAGCTTCGAGTATTTCCCAATATGTACCAATTTTCATACGGGAAGTCTTATCTTTCTCCGACTCCCCAGGAAGAGAGATGAAACGAGAGGCTGGGTCATATCCCTCCGGGAGAGATATGGCATCCTTCGACCGTAGGCTAAAGGGAGGCCAGAGGCAAGTTCCAAACGCGAAATGTTGTGCAAAACGGAAGATAAAGGTTTTAATCTCATCATTTGCAGCATTAATATTGCTCCCATCTCTGTCTCCATTGCGGGTTGCTGAGGAATCTTGATACTCCAACTGACTGCGAACTTCAAAAAGTTGAGCTTGGAGCTCTTCTTTCTCTCTCCGTAGCTGAGTGACTTGTGCACGTAGTTGAAGAAGATACTACAGTAGTGTATATAGTCAATAACTGGGAAGGTCTGCTTCAGAGACATGCCTCCTGAAGCTCGTGAGAATCACCATCACGGAGATGTATCCCATCAACCAAAGAGGGGTTAGAATATTCGGATGATTCAAGAATAGGGCCTTCGTGTTGCGGTTGGGTTGTATTTGAGTCAGGAAAGCCAAGGACGCTGCTCTCAGTGGATGAAAGAGAACGTGAAGAGGTTAAGGAGGGGAATCGGAAAGTGACAGGACTTAAGCCTGTCATCTTATGGCGCGTTCGACGCGTTAACACGAAAAACGAAGGAATGGGTCAAGGTGGGACGTTTACAAACTCCGACAACCCGCCACCCCCTTTTGACAAGCTATGACCTCAAAACGTTAGTTGAAATAAAGATTAATTTCGTAACTGGAATTCCCGATCTAAATCATTAATTTAAAGCTTTCATAGTCAAGTCGCTCTGGACCTATGGTAAGGACCGCCTTAGACAGTAGAGATCCAGTTTTAATGTTCGAATGAATATAAAGGTTCAAAATCTCAGAAATACTCATTTTGAATTTTTGGTTTTATTATAAGTTTGTCGTACAATAGGCCGCATCTCGG